CTGTGGGTGTTTTGGAGGTATAGAAATAGAATGGATGTGAAGTTAGATGCTTTTGTTGTAGAAAGAGAATGGACGTGAGCTCTTGTGGGCGTTTTTGTAGAGAAAGAAGGTAGGTGTTTTTGTAGAGGAAGAAGGTGGGGGTTTTTGTAGAGATGCTTTTATTGTAGAAAGAGAGGGGACGTGAGTGTTTTCGTTTTTGAAGAGAGAGAAATGATTCCACTGTAAAAAGAGAAGTGGGTGTTGGGTGTTTTTCGTCCTTGTATGGAAGATTGGGAGATGGGAGATGGGAGATGGGAGATGGGAGATGGGAGATGGGAGATGAAAGAGAGAAAGGGGTGTTGGGTGTTTTTGTTCTTTATGGCAGATGTGGGATCAAAGATGGAAAATGAAAGAGAAAAAAGAGTGTTGGTTGTTTTTATTGTTGATGAGAGAGAAAAAGCCTGTTGGGTGTGTTTATGAGAGAGAGAAGGTGGGTGGAGGTGTTGAAAGTCAATGGGTTTGATGGGGTTTTAGTCGTGGATAGTCTACATTCGAGAGAAAGGAAGGAGTCGGGCTTTTGTGCGTGCGTTTTGTATGCAATGTAAGGCGCGAAAGGAACAGCGGCTTTTGCACAATGCGTAGGTTAAAATTAAAAAATTAGGCCTTAAATTCCTGACCAATTAGAGATCCTTACCGGTGGAGCTCTTTACTTGTACAAGTTTGCTCACCCGCCCGTGTCTCTAATTTGAGCAATCTCGAATTATTTAATTCACCTATTTAATAATAATTTATAAGTTTATTTCGTCTTCTATATTTATAAAGTATAATAACAGATATATAAAGTTTTCAAAATAAGATTTATTAACTTAAAATGAGTTTTAAAAAATATTTTTTAAACACATTTCACCACCTATAAATTTTAATATTTTTGAGTTGAATGCGAGTTATAAAGTTTGTATAATATAACATTAATTAACAAAATAATGAAGATATTTTTTAGATATGATTATATTAAGTAATTATTATTATTATTTTATTTTAAATTACATAATAAAATATAATATTTTTTATTTTTTAATTTAAT